TTAATTTTAATTATGTATCTTATTATAAAAAAATTTCATTTTCTCTTAATTTTAATTATTTATCTTATTATAAAAATATATCTCTTTATCTAAAGAAACAAATTTTTTTATTTAACTTTGTTATTATTTCTTAATTTTAATTATGTATCTTATTATAAAAAAATGTCACTTTATTTTTAATTTTTTAAAAAATAATATAAATAAAAAAATTGTAAATTAATAAAATAAAATTTTTTATTATTATAATGTGAATAAAATATAACTTTATACCATTTTTAACCCTCAACTTGAAAAAAGGGTCTATTTTAATTTTTTTGACAAAAAAAAATTTTTTTTTGAATATTTTTTCATGGGACCGACTCGAACCATTACCTTGGAGGGAGGAAATGAACCTTATAAGAGTGACTAAAACCACTTAACTCATGAGATCAGGTTCGACAAAAAAAAATATTTATTAAATTAATAAAATAAAATTTTTTATTATTATTAAATAAATAAAATTTAAATTTATACCATTATTAAACCTCAACTTGAAAAAAAGGTCTATTTTAATTTTTTTGACAAAAAAAAAATTTTTTTTGAACATTTTTTCATGGGACCAACTCGAACCATTACCTTGGAGGGAGGGAATGAACCTTATAAAAGTGACTAAAACCACTTTACTCATGAGATCAGGTTCGACAAAAAAAAAAATATTTATTAAAAATTAATATTTATTTTTAAATTAATATCATAAGTTAAAATCGAGTGAGCTCAACCTGTAACGTGACCCTTCCACCGGTCACATGGGGGAGTTCGAGAGTCTATTTTAGTTATTTTGTTTGGTTGGGAGTTATTTTGTTAATGGCGTGGCGCCAACAAGGAAAAGACCTTTATAATTAATTTCATACGTGGGAGGATGGACCAGAGAGGAAAAAATTTTAAAAGAAGATAAGTTCGGCCAAATTTTGTTCATGTCAGATTAGCATGTGGGATTAAAAAGACAAAACATGGGCATTTTAAAAAACATTGGGTTGCAAAAAAGCCTTAAAAAATAGTAAAACTAGAAGGGTCTCTAGTCTACTGGGATGCTTGAGACGAATTTAGAGAATTATCCGCAAGAGGGTCTCGAAATCCAAAATAAACTTGATAATTAGGTTTTTTTTTTCTTTTTTTGGAATCTGTTACTTTAGATTTTATGCAATTGAAAAAATATTGATAAAGATAAAAATTTTATTATTTTTATTTAAAAATATAAATTTTATTAATTTTTCAATAAAATAATATATTTTTTATTTTTTATTTAAAGGTGTTAATTTTATATTTTTATTTAAAATATTAATTTTATATTTTTTATTTAAAAATTAATAAAATAATGATGTTAATATAATAAATAATTTTTTTAATTATTTAATTAATTTTTAAGTAAAAACTATAAAATTAATATTTATAAATAAAAAATTAAAAAATTTATTATTTTATTTAAAAATTAACAAAAAAATATTTTTAAAAATAAAATAATAATAAAATTTATATTTTTACCGAAACCTTTTCTTCGGCGCGATAGAGACAGAAAAAGGACCCGTAGCTTGATGCCTTGATAAAATAGTTTAATAAAAAAAACAACAAAATTTATATCTTTATTCACACCTTCTGTTCAGCCAAACAGAGACGGAAAAGGGACCCATGAGCTTGATGCCTTGATATAATAGTTTAATAATTGATATCTTTTCGTAAGCTTTGATTGTGTATTTTGTTACATTTTTTTTTCCTTAGTTTTTTTTTTTTTTTTCGTAGTTTCTTATTGGCAGTTTGGGAAAGCTCGTGGTCATTAGATCCTCGGCATCTTAGATGATAATAAAGTCTTTTAGCTCATAGGAGAAGAGAACGGAGTTTTAGCAGGTGTCTTTTTTAGGACTTGATCTTTTGTTACTTACCTTAATTTGTCGGTCCATTATCAATTGAGTTAAATACAAATTTTAGTCTCTTAATGTTAAAGTTTTACATAGTTTTTGTTTTTTAATTTTTTTATCCATCAATTTTGAAAAATACATATTTTTTACACTTTTAGTAATTGGTCTATTAAATCTATTTAAATATGTATATTTTAAATTCTTAAATTTATAATATATATAAATTTTTTTGTAACATATCATATATTTAAGTGAATAAATTTTAAATTAGTGTTTTTTATTTTAAAGTCTTAGTGGCTATATTGATTAGATTTAAAGTATGAAAATGTTATATGAAATCTTAAATTAGTTGGAGACCATGTAACTCCATTAGTCAAATTAAATGATGTGGCTATATCTCAACCAAGTGTTTCGTCCTGAAACTTGTGGAAGACCCGCGGCTTCGTTGTAAGATTTTAAATACACAATCTTTAAATACACAATCTTCTTCTTCTTCTTCTTCCTCTTCTTCTTCTTCTTCTTCAAGCCTTTTAGATGACCTTTGCCGTTCCGAATACCCATTTCTCTTCACTTTTTCTATTTTAGCCGAGTGGGAGTGCTATAGCTGCGTGGGGATGCACTTTTTAGTTAGATTTTCTTTTAATTTTTGTTATTTTTTCTATTTAATTAGTGTTATGATTTTTATGGGTAAATTTGAGTTTTAGTTATGGATTTTGGTTTAGTTTTTGGGTAAATATAGATTAACCAATTAAATAGTGAGAATTAGTTTGAATAAGTAAAATTTGATATTGAATTTTATTGTTTAAGGTATTTTTCTACCTATTAAAATTTTATTTAGAAATATTTTGATTTTTAGGTGCATGTACGATAGTTTGGAGCATGTTTAATTTTGTGTTTCTAGTTAGCCACTAATATTTGTGATTAATAAGAACCTTAAATATGAACCTACATTCTATGTTCTAAATTGGTTGTTTAGATAATTGATTTTAGTTGCTTGGAATTTTGAGTGTTTTGTGACTATGAGTGGGAATTAGAGTTCTCTTAAATAATTATTTCATGTGAAATTCATGAGTTAAGCATTTGGATATTGATGTGAATTTCTTAAAAAATACATCTATTTAAATGAATTATTAAATGAAATTATATTTTTATATTATTTTGGATATGTTCTAAATATATTTGAAATGTGTATGTGTGTAGTTATGGACTAAATGGATCTAAACTTAAAGTTTGGGATTTAGTGGACCATTTAGGGTAATTAGTGTACCTTTATGCAACAAGGTGAGTATTGTGACTAACTCTAGTACATGTTTTGTTGGCACACATCAGTAAACTCTATAACATTGTATGATTTTATTTGTTATATGCATTATGATTATGATATTCTGTTTGTAAACATATGATATTTATGGTATGACTTTAATTAAATGCCATTAAATTTATTTTTGATATTTCTTACTGTTTACAAGTTATCTTATATAACATGTTAAGTTTAAAATATTATTATTTAAAAATAAACTTACGATATTATGTGACTTAGCTTAATATATGTTATACCTTGTGAATGTTTGTGCCAATGGGTTCTAGAACTCAAGTTTATAGTTTTTTTTTTTTAATACTTAATGAGGTTTTACCTCATATTATTTTCACCCCCATTTCATATTAGTAGCTTGGAGTTGTAGCTACCGAGACTTGAGAGCTTTTGGTATAAGTCACTTATACTTGTTATACGTAGAAGTTAGGATTTTATTGCTTTTGACATCAAGGTGAATCAATGTGTTGTCAAAACGATAGTTCTATGTATATTATTTCAAAAAACTTTTGAAAGCACTTGCTCATGTCTATTTTTTTGTGAAGTGCCTTAATAATTTCATATCTTTGAGTATTTTTAATGTTTTTCCCTTAAAAGTGCTTTTTACTAATTTGGTTTTCCATTTTACAAGCTATTGTCTTTGTTTATCCTATATAGTTTTAAAAATGACAAGCAAGTAAGTTATTTTTCAAGGAATTATTTTATACTTTGGAAATCCTTTACTTCTATTGCATTATTTTTCTAAAATTCTTATTTCAGGACTCTAATCTAATGAGGCTAGGGATACCTAAGAGAGGTGTATTAAGTATTTAGTCCCTTAGCTTCTAAATTCAATGATTAAAAATGTACATATATGGATGTATGAAATTAATAGATTAATTGACAAATAGATGAAAAAAAAAATCATTTTTTAGAGTTGAAGGACTAAAAAATAATTAAAATAATTAAGAAATGAAAATTATACAAAACCCTAAAGTTAAGACACTAAAATTAACATTGAACCTATCAATTACAATGCCCTTCAAGTACTATATCTCCAGGTCTTGCGATGAGTTTACCTTTTGCTCTAAAGGCCCTTTGAGCCATTTTATTGATGCTTAATGATATGCAATTGTTAGAATAAAAAAAAAAAAAATGATATGCAACTACTCTTCCATAATAATATCTCCATTCAACTTTAGTAGTTATAGTTTAAGTTTTTAATTTTTCATATATGAATTTTAAATAAAAATTTAACATATTATATAAATGATAATTGAAATTTTGTTAATCAAATGAAACTATTCAACATAAATTACATATATATAAAAGGAGAATTTTCAATTGTCATTCATATAAATTGTTAAATTTTTATTTGAAATTTATTTTTAAAAAATCCAAAAGTCAAATTAAGACTATTATAGTTGAATAAAGAGAGTAAAAGGGAAAAAATAAAATAAAGAATGCTTTTTATTTCTCTCATTCCCCACTCAATCCTATATTTTCTTCAAATCCAAAGAACTTTTAAGTTTTCTAAATTTGAAACCTCCAAACAAGAATTAGAAAAGAAAAAAGAAAAAAAGATAAAGAAAAAAGAAAGAAATAGATTTGGGAAGCCTACTTCTCCCCGCTCCTCTTCCCCTCTCTCTCTTTTTCCTTTCTCTTCTTCACTATGTTTGAATTTGGGTTTTTTTACAAAAACTTTGATTTGGCCTGGAGGTTTCGTTGATTGCAGTTTCGAAATTATGCATTTAAAATGATTATTTTTTAATTAATGTATAGAAATGTGTCATCGATCAAAACTGAAAAAAAGAAAAAGAAAAAAGGAGGTAAACGGACTGGTAATGTCATTCATTATTGAAGGGTTTTTTTTTCCACCAACGAGGTGTTTGAGGGTTGGTTTGCCCATGAAACTAATTGAGAGCTTAATTTTTCCACTGCACAAAAAGTTGAGGGGGTAATCTGTTGGAACAAAGTCCAACCCCATGTATGAACACATAGACTTTCCATGTGGTGAAATTTCTTCACCAACCTAGCTAGTTGTGGGCTAGGATTGCTTTGTTGAAATCATGCAAGATTGCATGTAGACCCATTTAATGAGCAAGAAAAATCATGCACCGGTGGTAATGAGGCAAAGAAAAATGGTGCATGGGTGGTTGGATTTTTCACTATAAATACCCATACATGCAAAGGCAATAGGTAAGAAAGAGTAGGAGAAAGCAAGAGAAATTGAGTGAGAGCTCTTGTGAGAAAAAAGAAAGAGAGAAATTATGAGAAATCCTTATGTAGATTAAGAGAGAGTATTAAGGAGAATTTAAGAGTTTCTATACATTGAAGCTAGGGTGTTGAGTGCTTCTTGACTGAGAGAGCTTCTAAATTATTGTACTCTCTTTCTTAATAGTGGATTTATTTCTCTTTTTCTCATGGATGTAGACTTATTGAAAGGTGTACAAATCGAACCACGTTAAATTATTATCTCAATTTCTTTATTGCTTCCGTTTGTGTAGGATTGTGGTGCTCGAAATTCCCAACATAATCTGCATTTGCATGTTTTGCGTTAAAGACACATCGGATGCACGTGTAAAGGCAAAGCCACAAAAGCCATTCAATAGACGGCCTCACAAAGCTCCATTAGCAAAGGGGCTAATTTGCTTTGATCATTGGGTTTGAGGGCTTATTTGCTCCCTTTTTAGCTTAAGGGGTTATCACTTATTGTTGGCAAGATTCAAGGGCTTAAAAAGGGGCTTTACCTTAGAAACATGGTAAAGTTGCACCAATAACCTATTGATATAAATGGAAGAATTTCGATTTCTCTTAAATAAGATGTCAAATTTAAGTCTTATGAATAGAGAGATAAATATTAAGAAAACTTCCTCGATGCGGTTTGACTTTGAGTTAGACCTAATATGACTCTTAAATATTAGGAGGTTTAGTGAAAAATGGGTGGGGGGGGGGGGTAAATTGCTCTTGGATGTGAACAACTCCTTTGATGGGCATGCAATAGGTTTAATTGTGAAATTTGTATCTATTATTTCGGGGATTTATAATTCTTTGGTTTTACTAGATGGAATTAGAATCAATTAGATTCATAAAAACCACGAAATCCTAGCTTTTTAATCCTAGCGAAACTTTTCGATCTCAGATTTTAAGCCCATTCTGTTTTGGTAGTTTGGCCATGAAATTTATTTGTTTTTGTAGTTCTGGAATATGAGTGTGTGACTTTTTATAATGGATTTTATTGATAGTGTAGAAAATTAGTCAAAATTTTTAATTGAAAACAAAAATTAAAAATGAAATTTGTTATCTTAATGAGTAAAAATTTTTAGAACTAATATAGAAAACCAGAAACTTAATTAATTTATAAAATTAAAACTAGACGGACCACAAATTTTTTTTAGAATGGTTGTCTTTAAATTTTGAGTTTTAATTTTTTTTATTTTTAATAATCATTACTATATTTAAAAATCAAAATTTATTATAAAAAGATGAATTTATTAAATTTGATTTAAATATGGTACTAAAAGTTACTAAATATATGAAAAATAAAAACTCAAAACTCAAAATCACACACTAGACGGACCCTTATAAAACTTGCTAACTTTATTTGAATATTTATAAATTTTTTAAAAATAAGGAATAGTCTAAAATCATAATCATACTTGCATAATAAAAATTACCGTTAAACTATTTAAATAGTTCACTTCATTTAGTTAGACTATAAAATAAAATATTAAAAGCTAAAAATAAGAATATTAGTATGCCCCTTAATTATTTAATCTTTAATTTATCCAAAAAAAATAAATAAAGAAAGAAACAATTATCTGTCTTTTTTTTTTCCACTTAGAGGCAAACTAGGAGTGATAACCGATATAACTACTTTCTGTATCCTCTATAAATACATATCCACTCCCTCACTGCCATCCTCACTTTCCGTCACTTGTTATTCAGTATGCAGTCGGTTGATAAAATGAAAAATATGAACTATGTTGGGATCCCGTTCATTCCTGCGGATGCAGAACTCATCCAGATTCTCCACCACAAGATCACTAATCCAAACTACAATCATCCCTCCATCGTTGTTGCAGACGTATACAAGCAAGAACCGTGGTCTCTTCCATGGGATCCGGCAGAGAACAGATTCTTTCATGGGAATGAAAGGTATTACTTCGGTAAAAGAAAGGGTACGGGAAGGAAAACGAAACGAACCCTGGATATTGGTGGAGATCTTGAGGGAGCGGCTTGGAGGCCCAACCAAAAGGCAACGCCGATTCTTGACGAAGGGAATGGTAATACCATCGGTTTTGTGTTGTCTCTGACTTTCTTCTTCAAGAACAAAAGCAGAGGGGATTGGATTATGCATGAGTACTTGATCGATGATCCGAACAGCGTCGAAGAATACTGGTTTCTTAGTCGGTTTAAGTACACCGGTAAAGGGACGCCGCAGTCCATGGCGGTTAGCGGAGGACTTGATCCGCTGCCACTGATAAAGTGGCAGAAGACCATAGCGTATGTTGAAGAACCACAAACTTTACAAGAAGCAGAGGGCTTGATGATCACCGAGGGTGGATCATCTTCGTCCTTACAGTTACATGGTCTTGGTCAGGATTGTTTTTCGTCGGCTGGTGACAATAATTGTCAGCTTTATGTTGACGAGTTGGAAGCTTGGTTGGAGAATCGTGATTTTGAGAAAGATGAATGTTTTACGTCCGGTTCCGGTTCCGGTTCCGCTCAGTTGGAAGGTTTGTTGGAGAAAATGTGATTCTGAGAAAGAGGCATTGGTTGTGAAGAACGTTGAAGAACATCAATTTGATTGATGCTGTTATTTATCCTTTATTTTTATCTAGAGAAGAACCTTGTAAGTTGTCTAGTGGTTTTTTCCTTAGTGGTTTTCATTTTAAAATTCTGAAGTTTTGATTCTCTTGCCATTTAATTGCTGAACATTGATATATTAATTGTCATGAAAAATACAAACATAAAAATGAAAATTTGAGATTATCGGATGGTTCAGTCTTTTCTTTCCCTTGTTTAATTTACTGATTTTGATGGGTCATCTTTGAATTCTAGTAAATCCCATATTTTTGCCATGCAACTGTTTATGTGGTTTGTTGATACAGTGAAATGCAACTAGCACTGCACGCATTTCCATTAGCATTAAGAATGTTCAGTAGTAACAAAGAATAATCCAACGCATGCAAATATACCCATGCAATAATCACAATCAACTTAATCTCACATCAACTAAATATTTAATCCAACTACCTACAAACCTCGACATTTCTTTGCACATTTCTAAAGTTTAATTTACTATTTCTCTAATGTCAAGAACAGCAAATGGTAGCTTAGAAACCGTTTTGCTGACAGGTTTCTACTTTCTACCCCTTGCACATGCTTCCTTAGCCATTTCTATTCAATAGTCCAATTAACTGGTATATACGAAATTGTTAAAAGTAAATTGTTTCTTTATTATGAGTGTAAAAAATAAAATTTTGTGTCAAAATATATAATAAATAATTGAATGTCTATTTTTTTAACAAAATGTCTCTCCAACAAGTAATATTAGAGCCAATGACATGGCAAAATCAATAGTAATTGAGTTACTTTGTCCACAACAAAGGAGCTTTTTAATTTTTAATGTAAAGATGTAACTATAAGCAACCTCACCCTAATCAGTTGAGTTGCTGTAATGTGTTTGGCTCTTTTTGGATTATTGCAAGTCATGTTATAGTAATAAATGTATAAGCAAAGTCATGACCCTCATAAGAGATGGATTCTATTGCAATTATGAGGATAAGAGAATGTAGAAATAAATTGCGTGAACCCCTTTAATCACAGGTTACAAAGCTGATCGTCTTACTAATTACTTGGCTCTCCATATGGCTTAGATTTCGAGTCAATACAAATTACTCACTCCACGATAAGTTTTTTATTTGTAATTCAAAGAAACAAAATCAGTTTTTCAAATAAAGTGTATGATTAGTCAAGATCAACCATGGCTGAGCTTAGCTAAGGAAAATGTATTTCTTTTGTTATTTTTAATAGATTTAATTTGATTTTTTTTAACATAAATTTCAAATAAAAATTTAACAACTTTATTTCCTCAAAAATCTTCAAGTGGTTTTGCATATGCAGAATTTGGATGCGAGCATGTCACTTACTTTATTGAAAGCAAGAAAGAAGGATTTTCCCAACAACCTTTTCCTTCTTTACTGTTGACCTCCTTGTAGATGGCGGGAAGAACATTGGTCTTCAATTAAAATCTGCATCTATAGACAATTTGCAAGAGGAAGGAATACTTTCTTGTAGAATGGGTTACTAAATCTACCTTGAACGGCTCCAAGGATTTAAACACTACTGTGGACTTAAGTTAACAGACCCTAAATGAGCTACACGAAATACAAACTAAAATAAACTTGCAAGAACAAGATGTACTCAAATTAAATTAAACATATTCATTGTTAGATTAAATTGTTATTTATAGATAGATCTAGAAATTAAACTATTACAGATTAGAGATCTAACCCTAAATAACACTAAAGCAAATACGAACATGGACTAAACTAACATACCCGAAATTGAGAAGAAGCATGAATGTCATATAAGTAATTATTTAATCAAACACAACTTATCATAAACATTAAACTAATGTTAGTCAGAAAAAGAACAACACTTTACAGAAATTCAAAAGATTGATATTCATTATATGAAATGAAATTGCTGAAGCAAATACATGAACTAATTTGGCAACTGGAATGATGAAAAGCAGCCTAAATCTACTAGGGATTGTGCTAATAACTGAAATCTATAAACTAAAGTGAACAATCACTAAGAAACTAAAAGTCTGAAAATTTGTCAAGTTGTATGTAGGGTTGGCTGTGTGTTAAATAATCAAAATTTTCCTTCTGTTTTCCTCTTCCCTACCTACAACTCCCCACTCCATGCAATTACTTGAACATGGGCAGCTTTCTGAAGAAGTTGGACATCTCAACAGTTAACTGAGTCAGGATTCCATCCCAATTTCGCCACTTGTCCCATTATCAGTCAACTTACATCATTAACTGAAACCAACTCCTAAAAACCAACTAAAATAATCTTAATGTGACTCAAACAACCAAAATATAAAATCTCATATTTTCGGCTCTTTCTTTTTTGTGTGACACTTGATCTATTATAAGACCCAAAATTACATATCTGATATGACTAAATCATCTCCATTCATTTAAAAATATTTGACACATGGCAAAATCTTAAATTTTTTCAATTTATGGTGTAGGCAAACTTATATAAATTGTAATTAATTTTTTCTCTTTTTAAAATAAAATCCTGGAAAAAAACTTAAATTGAAAAAAAAAAATTTAATTATCATGTACATAATATATTAAGTTTTTATTTGAAATTTATATTTAAAAAGCCAAAAAGTTAAACTAGATCTATTAAAAATGAATGGTAATGAGTGTACTATTTACTCAAGATCAACCATGTTTGAGCTTAGTTAAGGAAAGCATAAAGAGCATATTCAAATAGTTTTTGAGCAATAAAAAAAATTTATCATCTTACAAAAGAATTGAGTTTACGCATAATACTCATTTTCCTTCTTAATTGACTCAATAACTGAATGTTTGGGATAAGGAGTATTGAGGGGAGAGGAGGATAAAATTTTTCTCTATTTAGTTATCAAAAAAATTAGAGGAGGAGAAGATGAAAATGTTATTTGCTTTATTTTTTTTCTTAATTTGTTATAACTTATTTGAATAAAAAGAAGGGAGGGGAGCTGAGGGGAGGGGAATCTAACGATAAAATTCTTGTTTTCTCTTTTTTCTTCCTCTCCATTTCTCTCAATCCAAACATGTGGTAGGTTTAAATGTGAAATTTTCTCTTATAATAGCTGTGTTTTTAATAAATTTAATCAATTTTTACCATGTATAAAAAGATAAAATGTCACACCAAAATATGACTGAAAAAGTAATATACTTTATTTTAGAAATAGATAAGCATACATTATTCTTTAATTTAATCTTAATTAATTCTTCCTCTCCTTGATGGGCGTGTAGGGTGATATGTGAACCCCATTTGTTAGAACGCCGGAAGAGTTTGACGGTGGAGAAAAGAGAAAAGGTTTGGACATCAATAGAAAGTTAGGAAATTTATTTTTTATACTTTTTTTTTTTTTTTTGACATCTAGTGAGGAGAAAACATAAACATAGACTCTGTTAAATTCGAATAAAATCTCAAGGCATGGTGGGACTAAAGCTATCCTTCTCCCAGCAGATTAGTTGATAACATCCTAAACTGTGCAGAAGTAGAGTGAAGCTTAAAGCTAAGCCGCGGCCTTTTTTTCCTCCCGAAGCGTAAGCTTAACCCTGGAACAAGCAATTCAAAAACTGAAAGTTATTCAGCATAAATAAAAAAACAACCACCATCATACTACATCGGCCTCTAATATAATTATTGCATTTTTCTAACAGAAAGAATCTAAGTGAAAAAAAAATACAACGCTAGATTAGATAAAAACTTTAATGGAAGTGACTCACTTAGCAGTTTTATCAAGATGATTCACAGCAGCGCACATTGCATGTAGTATTATTTTCTTCACCTGTTTCGAATGTAGTAAGGGAATAGCATTCAAACTGCAAAATTAAACTTCATAATACAATAACTTCTACCTAAAACATTGACTAAGAAGTAGAAGTTTGCTGCAAGTTTGCTGCCATTTTGTGCAGCTCCATGTAGCTGTCACTTTGCTGCCACAGTGTTGCAGCTTTGACACCAAAACTCCAACAATGGGAATAAAGGATACTAAGCAAAGGAAGTGGGAGAAAAAAATGAAGAGCAGAACACGCTCACTTTTAGGTCTCCAAGACCAAGGGGATCTCAAAGATGAATTTCGGGTTTCTAGATTTCAATGAATTTCAGTAGCCTTACTGAGAAAGCTTTTATTAAGTGGTTGTATACCCTCTTCCACAGAAGAATCCAAGGAAGTGGTCTTTTTCTTTTGCTTACAACTTGGTCTATAATTCTTCTTCTAGGGGTTTAGTCAACTAAAGAGGCCTTTAGTAGTATCCTCAAAGATTTTTCTTCAGAAGTTTTCAAGCAGCAAAATCTAGAGAAGAATCTTCGTCACACCTGTTTTTGCATGGCTTCACTAGATTCTTCTTCACAGGAAGCCATAAACCAAGAACAGCCCAAGATATATATATATATATATATTTTTTTTTGGTTGTTTAATTCTTTTTACCAAGATGCTTTTACTATAAATTATTATCTATGTTTTCTTATAGTATATGACTCAGCATATGGATATATCCCTCCAATTTTGGGGTTCTTCTATGGTTTGGGTGGTTTTTGGAATCCATCAAGTTTATTGAAATTAAGCAAGAGTGAAAATAATTTATCAATTTGGTACATGGTGAAGTCCTGCTACTCCCTTCAATCAACAAGCTCTCCATTTCCGAGCTTGACCCTCGAGCTTCAAGTTGCCATGAAATAACTTCTCCCCTTTTCTATCATTTTATTCTCTACCATTTATGCTTGCTTTGGCTTGGACTTTCAAACTCTTTCAATAAGACCAAATCGTATGTATGCCTAGCATTGTACCCCAGGTGACTACCAGGACAAAAATCTTCACCATGATCATGGAAGAAAGCTCTCCTTTTTGCCTATATATTTGTTGCCATGATGCTCTTCTCCTTGCCTTTCATGCATGCTAAATGTTCTCTCGTCCTCTTGAACTTCAATCTTTCCTCTCCCTCAAAAGCACTTTCATGTAACTTTTTCATAGCTCCACCCACTTAGAGAGTATACATCAACTCAATCAAAGTGATCTAAGAAAGATCTTCAAAATCTTCCGAGGATGATCTTATGCTCGAACTTCTGTGGTAAGTTCATGAACACTTTTTCAACTACTCTCTTGTATAGAGATCTTCTCCAAGCACTTTTTTTTGGTTGACAATTTTCAGCAACTTTCAGCACCTTAAACTCCTCTTTGAGGTTCACCACTTGC